CTAGCCGGGACTTAGATTACCATCCAGAGTTGGTAGTGATGTGATAATCTTCTGGCCAAATGACCATTTAAAGACGTTTCGGTCATAAAGAAATGTATCAATCCTGCTGAGGTGTGAATTTAAGGTATTTTTTTTAACTTGAAATGTGCATCTACCTGTTCTGAGGTAAATTAAGCCTACCTCAAGTAAGACTTTAAGAGTTAGCTTTAATTTATCTGTTTGTTGTCACATGAAATTTCGGCCAGTCCAATTTGTACTGACATGCGGGTCTTTTGTGTTGAGAAAACCTTTGCAACCTCAGAATTTACATTGAAGGTCCCAGTAATATAATGTCCCTTACACAGTCATCTTTTAACTAAACATAAGGATTTAACAAATACGGGATGACTTATAGCAGAGATGTCCAAACTACAACCTGAGGGCCATTTTTCAGTGGCCCGCGGTACATATAAAAAATGACATTGACACGGCCCACAAGTCTAGTTAAAAAAAAAAAAAAAAAAAAAAGAGCGTATAGGTGGGCAGCGTGAGGGAGTAGGGTGTCGAAAAAAAATAGGTGCCACTACTACTCATAAATTGATTCACATTTTTAACAACTTTACTAGATAGGCAAAGATACAAATGAACTTCGGGAGCCTCTCCATCTCAGATTTCTGGAATAAATTTGGGGCCCAGTAAGACCCTGGTCCGGGCCATCAGATCTCAGCTGAGCTCACAACTCTTGCCGTTGTGTGTATAGCTCTGAAGTTTAGAAGAGCTAGCAACAGATATCCACCACAGGATTCTCTCACAGCCCGCTCAGGTTGTCCGTTTCTGGATGGGTGTTGTGTTCTTGAAGTGAGATGTTCAAAGCCGTATCTCCTTCCTGAACCATCATCGGAAATCTCTGGTGCAATGTAGGACTAAATGGCAGATGTTTGAAACAAAATATGCTAAACGGTGTGTTAAAAGCAATCATCAGACTACTTTCATGCTGTAGTGGGATCTGCCAAAAGCCACTGCATGCAATGAGGGAAGAGAAGATCTTTGCTCCTGACAGCTTTGCCAAAACCTCCTCAGTGTTTGGCAGGATAAAGCTATTCCTTCTTACTTGCTCTTTGGCTTTTTTTCCTGTTCACACACATGTGTACTTTTCCTTTCAAATGAACCACTGGCACCATTGGGTTACACCAGTGGGTTGGTTGATTGGCCTTTTTGATCATTCCCATAGTCTCTATCCTGTTCAGGTTCTCTTAAACCTTTATGGGTAGTCATTGCATAGGGCTCACCTCAAAGTGCCGCTCTTGTCAAATGACACACTCACTTCTTCACCCCTCATCACCAGGCCTAGTGCGATGGCAACCCCTTTGCCGACTGCCTCGCAGGTTATTCACCACTGAACCATGAACCTAAAGACTGTTTAAAATTCGCCCTGGTCATAAAACACCTCTCTCTGTCGAAACATTTTAAATGTCTTTTGACTCCTGATTGCGGCATCACACTCAGTGTCAATTTTGAAGGGGACCACCGGATCCGCAATCTGTAAAGCCAAAGTCCATTTCTGTATTTTGGCCTCTGTTTTGACTGTACCCGTATCAACTGATGCCTCTTCACTTATTACATCTACTTCATTTGCTTCTGTTGAAAAGCAACTTGGTTCCCGATGAATGGCATTTTTGTGGCATTTTCTTCACACTGAGCCAACAGCAGGACAAGGTCCATTGTTGTCCGTTGTGGGTTTCCACATTTGCCACATCTTGTGCTCCATGAATGTATTGGACTTTTCTTGTTTTTTATTTCCCCATTTCTGATTCGTTTTTCATCCTTTAAAATTACTTTTGTGTATGCTTTTATGTGTTTTTGTTTGTTTGTTTGTTTGTTTTGTTTTTTTGTTCATCACGTTTGGCTGCGGTTTTGGCGAGTTCAGCATGTTGTCAGAATATGTAATACAAGGCCTCCCCCTGCTGCCTGATTATAGCTCCTCATCCTCTGCTTGTCTGAGTGCTTGAATGGCTTTGTCCAACGTCAGATAGCAGTGAGCTGCAGTTTATTTGACAGCTCATTGTTGCATACCCCCACTACAAATCTCTCTCTATTTTTTTTCCGTTTTTATTGTCCCCAAATTCACAGTTTACAGTGCGTTCATAAAGATCTCGTTTAAATAGCTGCCTTCTCCCTCGGCTTTTGCGTGCTTTGGTGTACCTGCGCCCTCTCGTGACCAGTTCTGCTGAGAGAGTCTCTTACAGTATGATCGAATCAACTTTTTTTTGGACAGAATATTCAATTTTACAATTCAATAGCATTTCCTTTGTCACTATAACAACAAAGGAGAACAAAAAATAAGCATATGTATAATCAGACGTGCCACAATTACATAACAAACAAAGATTACACATGACAATAACAACATTTTCGTGAATACATAGACAAACTGTGGACAGACTTCAAATAAACACACTAGACCAGGCGATTCCTGTTACACCATCTTCAAATTTGATGGACTCACTGTAACAATCAATTTAATCAAAAACACCTTAAAACATGGAGTAAACAAATAAATCACCGGAGTCTACACTTCCGTACGTAGTCTACAGCAGGGGTCATGTGGTGCTTGGCACAGAAAGAATAAATAACTCACATTCCTTCCGTTTTATTCATTTCGGAAACTGAAATATCTTTTATTTTGAAAAATTACCGGATTCTCTGTTATATTAGTCTACAGTATCTCACTCTTGACGCAGGTGAATGCGCACTTTTCGGTCACGTGATAGGTTACCGCATAAAAAAAAACCAAACGTCTTTGAAAAGTTTTTTCGGGAAGGGGAAAAGGCCCAGCCTAAGCCCCGTTCACACGGCAACGTTTGGTCCGACGCAGCTCCGAAATAAATCGAGACAGAAGAGGAGCCAACGACTTCTAAGAAAGAGAAGGCTACATTTAATAGACTGTATCAGGAGTCCTATTTCAAATACGGCTTTATCTCAACGGGAGACTCACACGCACCAAGCCTACTCTGCATAATAAGCAACGATGGTGAGTCGTATTTTTCATGCACTTCTTGCGGCCTATCTTATTTTGAAGGCACGTTTAAATGTTACCATAGCGACCAGATAGGACGTTCCTCGTGTCATGCTTCGTGTTTATTATTATGTTTCGAAAATACCACACTTTCATGGAGGTCATATCATATTATATTGTTGCATCTATCCGACCTTAAAGGCTGGTCCCTGAAAATATTGTCTGACATGAAACCGGTCCATGGGGCAAAAAAGGTTGGGACCTCTGGTCTACAGAGCCAATAGATTTGTTAAGGTGGTTCTGTTTGTGAGCAACAGGTGGCACTGTAGGGCTCCTCCTGCAGTGGCACACCCGTTGGTCATTGTGTCATCAATTTTTTTTTTTTTTAAAGGACTCCTCGTCCGAACAGTCGGTGTCCGGTCATTTTGTGTTTGTGTTTGTGTTAAATACATTTTGTTAAATGCACCCTGCTCCTCCCTGCTTTCTGGGGTCCTCTACCTACCACCTCGCAAACATGACAAGATCCCTGAAATTCTAGTCACATATTAAATCTAAATCTACAACACTGTTTATTCTACTGTTCTGTAATTGACTCATCTAATTGGTTTCCCAAAACATGAATAAAAACAGAATACGATAATTTGCAATTCCTTTTCAACTTATATTCAGCTGAATACGCAACAAAGACAAGATGCTTAATGTTCAAACTGATGAACGTTTTTGTTTCCTAAAGTGTACTGTGGTCTGGCAAGTCTGGTCTGATGTGTCTGCATTTCAAATTGCTTTTGGAAATCATGGACATTGTGTCAGAGGAAAAGGACCATTCAGACTGTTATCAGCACACAGTCCATAAGCCAGCATCTGGGATGGTATGAAGTTGTATTTGTGCCCTTGTAATGGGTAACTTGCTCATCTTTGAAAGCACCTTTGCTGAAATGTACATATTGGTTTTGGATCAACATGTTGTCATCCAAGCAACGTCTTTTTTCAGGGACATCCCTGCTTATTTCACCAAGACAATCCCAAGCCACATTCTGCACGTGTTACAACAACAAAGTTGAAAATGTGTGGCCATCGAAATATGAAGTGCAAATTACAACAACAGAGAACCCGGACTGTTGAGCAATTGATGTGAACGTCAAGCAACAATGGGAGAGAATTCCACCTACAAAGCTTCAACAATTAGTGCCCTCAGTGCCCACATGCTTATTGATTGTTGGTAAAAAGGAAAGGTGATGTAACAGAGTGGTGAAATACCCTTCTCCCACCATTTTTGGAACATATTCATCAAATTCAAAATGCGTGAATATTTAGAGAAAAAAATAAACTACTATCATAAGTTTCACAGTCTGAACATTAAATATCTTGCCTGTATTCACTTAAATGTAGGTTGACAATGATGATTGTACTGTTTTTATTTTCATTTTACACAACCTCCCATCTTCATTGGAAATGGCGTTTGCGCATGACCTCCCAGTAGCCCGTGAGCTTCTGTTAGCGCCATGTTAGCGTCTGCTTTAGTGTTATGAGTGCTTGCACCTTTTCGTAGCCTAACAGCACACGAGAAATTCCAGGTGCTATCTGCGGTTAATATGTCTGTTTACTTTGTGGATCCTCAGTTATCCAGGTCATGCTAATCCACAAAGGTCAAACGATTCTGAGGCTGAGAATCTACACGGAGCAAGCAATTGTTGAAAATCTGCTATTGAACATGTAACCCTACTTTAGTTGAGAAACACAGGGAGAGACAGAGATTGAGGGAAAAAGAGAGAGAGAGAGAGAGAGAGAGAGAGAGAGAGAGAGAGAGAGAGAAAGACAGAGAGAGAGAGAGAGAGAGAGAGAGAGAGAGAGAGAGAGAGAGAGAGAGAGAGAGAGAGAGAGAGAGAGAGAGAGAGAAACTACACCCTTCATGACACAACGTTTGCCTTTTATTACATTTTATTCCATCCATTATTTTAATACCACCACCTATCCTGTTAATGGGCACGGTTAGCCTTTTTTTTTTAAAACCATTTTTCATGTTTGAAAATGTGAAAACCCCTGAAGGTTACCTGTTAATTCAGCTGAGAATTTAGCATGGTGTTTTTTTTTTAAATCAGAATGACACAAAGTAATTTTTTTTTAGCTCACATGATCATTGTCATTCTTGTAAAAGTCAGCGTAGAGAAAAAAGGGTGATGAGACAAAAACACAGAAAAATATTGTCATTTGTTATTTACTGCACCATGTATGTACACGAAAAATACTCAAAAGGCAATACGAAATAAAACAAACACATATAACTCATAGTGAGATAGATGAATTTGAAAGCAATGCAATCTCTGTTGTCTTTCTTGCTGGTTTTCTCTGCATTAGCAGAACATCAATCTCTAAATGGCTATTGACTGCTTCTTTATAAGATTATCTGCAATATTAGCATACTGTACATTTGGTTGTGATTCAGAAATTAAACAGCCCCCATATTGCTTCCAACATAATGATGCAATTAAAAAAAAATACAAAAAAAGACTTAAATCCATGTAATAATTCTTTTAAGATCGTGTTCCTATAGGATGACAAAAGACTTAAAAATACACTGACCATCTGAAAAGTAATTGCGGCCCGTTAAGGAAATGCAGGTTAAATCATTTTGGTGAAACACCAGCACAATTTTGGTCATTTAACTTAGATAATGTTCCAATCTGGTCACATTTCTCCAAAATGTGATTTTAGATTAAGTCCCAAAATAAGCACACTGTCTTGACTTGGACTCTTCGCTCTCTTGGTCTCTGTTAGGGCAGTAAACACTTAGCAGAGAAAAGTTGTACAATGTGAAATAATGAGAAAAAAATACAGTTGTGAGAAAAAAAAAATTAACATGACAAGAACAGCTGCAACATGAGGAAAAAAATGTAATTTACTAGAGTAAACTCATAACTTTTAAGAATTTTTCCCCACAAGCATGGTCGTATTACGAGTACAGGCTGTTTGACGGTGAAACATTTGAGGATCTTACTGAACCCAAAGTGTTGATTCATCTTTAATGTAGCAGGTCTGAGACGGCTACGTTGATGTTTTTGTGGTCATTTTGACAATTACTTGTAAATTCTCCTCTCCTGACTAATATTTTTTTCCTCCTCTCGAACAGGCACTTTATTATTAATAAAAGTGCACGTGTGGATCAACCTTCCGAGTTGTATCCGCAAAAAAAAAAAAAACAATTTGGGGGGGAGGGATACTTACCCTGTCATTAATGCAACATTGCTGTACATGTAGAAATAAAGAATTTGTGTGAGACATGCTTAGAAACAAGTTGCAAGAAAGCAAGAGAGAAGAGAACAATAACATTTCAATAATGTGCAAATGCATTATGGTCCATTTATACTCTTTGTCGTGTCAACTCAAAATGTGAGCCTGTTGGGCCTCCAACACACAGGTCACACTGGACCAGAGTACCCGAACTTTCTGTGAGGCCCGTCTGTCACTGAACTATCTGGGGCATTTCGCTCCAGGCTTTGGCCTTCTTCTTGGCTAGAGCCATCCACGGTGGCTCATCCTGGGGCAAAGATGGAGGTGGGAGACCGCGCTGAGATGCTGCAGATGGACCGGAAAGGCCAGGAACTCTTGAAGCCGGCATCGGAGGGTTGATTCTTGATGAAAAAGGAGGCGAGGAGAGTGTCGTGTGCGGGGTCTGCGCTGGCTTGGGTTCTGTGGGGGGTTTGGGGCCCGAAGGAGGTTTTATGGGAACTGGAACGGGAGTCGGAGGAGATAGGGATCGATGGAAGGGGACGGCCTGTGGTGCAGGTTTGGAGGTGGCTGAGGGAAGTGGGCTTTTGGGGCTGACAGGGCAGGGAAATAGCTGAGATTTAGGAGGTTGAGGTGGCACTGGAGTCACAGGGGACAGAGACTTCCTAGTCTCGTTTTCTGAAGTTGATGATGTCTTACTCATCTCTGATGAATTCACTAGAGGAAAGAAAGAAGATTCAGGTTCTTCTTTGATCGAGAACTTCATCAGAAATGTCTGGTTTTCAGACATTTTATACCAAGTACCCACCCCCCCGCACCCCCCCCAAAAAAAAAAAAAACCTGAGCGCTCCAATAACATCATCATGAGCAACATTAACATACAGCAGCCTAGTAGTCCGAAGTGGTCATCGAAAACGAGCCAGATGTTCTAATCATAAAATGTATATTTAATAATAATGTAATATTATTCACATTTATTTTATTTTTTAGCTCCAGTGTTTCCTCATGGGGGGCTTCCATGCTGGGAGGTGTGGTGGCAGTCATTCTTGTCAACGTGGATGAGCTCGCCTCGGGTGCTCTTTTCCTGATATGGTTGCTCTGTGCCTTGCCATGTCTTTTTTAACATAGCTCATCAGGGTGTGTGTGTTTATGTGTGTGTGAGAGAGAGAGAGAGAGAGAGAGAGAGAGAGAGAGAGAGAGAGAGAGAGAGAGAGAGAAAACAGTCATGCTTGTGGGGATATGTATCTGTGTATGTTGGGGGAGTGGGACGGTCCTCTTTTTATGTTGTGTTTTGTATATTTTAATTGCCCGGGATTCTAATGACTGACCTGTGCTATAAAGCCCAAACTCAGTGTACAGTATTGACCTCAGAAAGTGTGTGTGCATGCCTGCGTGTTTCTGTGAGTTCCTTTCTTGATGTTTTGTGTGTGCGTTCAGACCATTTCCAGTGAATTCAGGTGGTTTGGTGCCGAGTTCTTTCTTCAATGCCGAGCTGACATATGAAGGCAGCGAAGACTCCCTGTCTTGTTCCTCCTGATGACAAACGAGAGAAACACATTCATTTGTACAAGCAGCTCGAAATGTACGGCGGTGTCATCCATGTATGCAAACGCAGTGCGAGAGGGGAAACAAACAAAAAAAAAAAACACAGCATGGACAATCATCAAAGTACTTTTCTATTCCCAAACTGAACAGTGTTTTGAGTGAAGTTTTAGTGAAACCGGTGATTTACCTTCTTGACGGTCATCTCGTCCAGTGAATTTTCTTTATAGATCTTCTGTTTCTGTCTGGCCATGGAGATCCAGCTGGGACCCTCGGAGACAGCAGAAACAGCACGAGCTGCAGCAGGCTCTAAATGAGCCACAGGGTGAGTTTCATTGGATGTTAGTTATGGGCCCATGGTTTCAAATATGTGCTTTCGTGTGTTTGTCTGCACCTGAGACACGCTTGCTTTTCACTCCGGTCTCCCCGTGGACATCTGGTTTCTTGGGAAGGGCAGGTTTGGTGCCGACCGGTTGACTTGTGGAGGGCTTGAAACCGGTCACTTCAACTTTACAGCTAACAGGCCGCGCTGGAGGCTCCGCGGGTGCCTAAAATGAGGGCACATCAAATGCAGTTAGAGGTACAAGTTCATAGCTGCATGCCCATTTTGCGCCACTAGGGGTCACCAAATAAACACTGTAAAGTTTTAAGAGCAAATGAGTTCTTTTTTATGCAGTTTAATCCAACCTTAAAGATAAAGGAATGAACCTCAAAAGAAATCATGAATATATAAATGTATTTCACCTCCGTGTTTTCCTCTTCCGAGCTGAAGCGGTGAAGAACTGATGTCTTCCTCAGCCGTACTCCAAAGGGAGTGTTGTAGTTTCCCTCCATTACCACAGGGCTCTCTGTACATAGAAGTGGAGGATGAACTGTGCTTTGACATCTTGTAGGTATAGATGATAAAACACTTTTACACCGCCTCTTGGTTTCAAACAAAGTGTTACAATTGGGTATTAAATGTGCTTTGGGTATTTTTTTTCTGTAATTTGTCTGAAGAATGTCAGAAACCATATATATCAATTTAGGGACAGAGTGCTGCTGCGAATTGATCACATCCCGGAGTAATTTGCGCCCGAAAAGGTAAAAATGGCTGCACATGCCACATGATGGCAGCAAAGGACTATTTTTTATTATTATTACCCTTTTTCTTTTTTTTTTTTTTTGTCAAAGTAAAACCCCTGAACTGAAGTCAACATGGTTCCATGGTAGCAAGACTCGAGGGCAGCAAATTGATGCTTTTCAAACTTTGGCTTTAGCACAAAAGGAATCACTGGGTAAGTTTTTCCAGCTAACAACAGGGTAGGTTCCAAAAAAAGAAAATCAAGTGGGTGAATTTGTCAAACTGCACAAAATTGATGGTCACTCAACACCCAGGAAGATTGCACTCATAAAAAGTAAACACACATTTATAGCACATGCAATGGACTTATTCCGAAGCCCCGTTATGTTTGCTCACCTTCTTTGGCTGTTGCAGCTGAGGTATGCGCGCTGACTGGGTCCGGGACCACATTTGGCGCTTTGACAGCAGTCCCATCAGGCACTGTTGTTTTCACACATTTCTCCACCTGGACCTCCACCTGTGGGTCCTTCATGGTGGCCTCCTGGGCATCCTCATCTCCAGGCCCTGTGCTGAGGGGCGGCATTGGGGAAGAGGGCAGGATCTCTTTGGCCTCCCCACTAGAGAGAGATCTCTGCCAGGCGGGGGCGACGGTGAAGCGAATTTTGCTCTCATTGGGACATTCGAGTGACTGGTTGACTTCTTCCCCGTCAGGTGAAAGAGAAATGTTTTCTTCCACAACAGCCGCTGTATCACAGCTCGGGGTCACCTGCTCTTCTTCTATTTCTCTCACCTCGTCAATGGTCTCTTCACCATCCTGTTGCTCTGCTGTTGTATCGCAAGATGCCACTTTGGAATCTTCATCAGTTGCGGATAACTGAAAGGCAAGAGTGCCCAACCCTGAGTTTGGAGAGACAAGGTTCATGTGGATAGTAGTGGTCGCTGTGTTAGAGAAGGTCTCAGTGGGAATGTTGGTCTCAGCAAGAGATTTGGTCTCGCTCTGAGGGAGGGTTTCGGCGGAAATGGCGGCCGCTCCAATGGTGGCCGCTCCAATGGTGGCCGCTGATGTGTGTGAAGTCTCACGGGGAATGGTGATCTCTTGAGGAGTGACGATCCCAACGCAAGTGTCAGTCTCACTAGGAGTGCTTGGTGTGCTTAGAGCGAGGGGCTCACTGTCTTGTGAAGGACATTCAAAGTGTGACGAGGAACAAGACAGTCTAAGTGATGATGTTTGGTTGACTTCTATCTCTTCTTTTATCTCCAGCAATTCTTCCTGCTCCACATCTCCATCCTTATTGTGGTCTGCTTCTTCCTGTGGTTCTGGATGGAGCTCTGTGCACTTTAAGTCGTGATCCTGCTGCGCTCCTCCCTGTCTTTCTTGACTTTCACGGTCATTTTCATGAGGGGACATTTGGCTCTCGTGTACGGGCTCGGCTACCGGATCATTTGACTCTTGTGGCGTTTCGATATCATGTGTGCATTGGGTGTGATTCAGGGCATCAACATCTGCAGCTTCACTCTGCTCCTGCAGTATGGACACATTGCAAACCTCTTGGCACGTTTCATCAGGAAGCATTTCCCACTCTTCTTCTTCTTCCATCCACTGTTGTTTTTCCTCTATCTCCTCATCCACCCTCACCTCGGGATCCTCTCCCACCACTTCAACATCTGTCAGCTTCTGCTCTTCCTCACTTGCTTCAGTTTCTTGTTCTTCCCAGTGCTTTGATTCGGTTTGGGGCAGGTCGAATTGTTCTTCAGGTTTGGCTTTTCGTGGCGAGTCTGGTGGCGCATCATCTAACTGCATATGAAAGGAGAAACAAACAAGGTGATCTTTATGCACATCTTCATAAACTGGAGTTTATGGGATTCTGCAAATATATACAAGTCGTAGAAGACTTAAGAGTCTGCCTTTATAAACACAGTACTGTTCAATCAAAATCAAAACATACCGTAAATAAGGTAATGGTATCTTTTCTGTGAATGGATGCATTGATGATATGTTCATCATAAAAAAATGACATACGCAAGGCTGAGTGAATCGTTCCACGACAGGTTCTTCCTCCTCCTCTTCTTTTTCATCATCATCTTCACTTTCCTCCTCTTCGTCAACATACAGATGAGGACTCGTCGAAATCGCTACCTCCTCCTTCGTCTCTTCCTCGTTGGATTGATCAAATCGGAAGGTATCACGAGGAGCAAGATGATCAAATGCAGGCTCATCCTTCACCTCCTCTTGGTCTTCTGTCTCATTGTTCTCTTCCGTCACCTCCAGGACAACATCCTCCGAATCCACACATGAAGTGCAAGAAGGTAGGGGTGTCTTCAGGGAATTTAGCACTTCCTGCAAGAAGGAGCTGTCATCCTCCACACCTTCCTCGAATCCATTGTCTTCTGCCAGATCTGGTCCATCCGTGTTCTCCTCTTTTCCATTCACAAGTGAATGTTCCAGGAAATCTTCATGGTCAACGGGGGGCTCTGGCGTGGCTCTGAAAGCAGAAATGATCGGGTTTTATTCGTGGGAGAAACCATAACAATGAGAACAATACAATTGGGAAATCATGTTTAATCACCTGGGGCTGTCCAGAGAGGAGCTTCTGGCACTGAGATCAGGGGAGGGTGGAGACTGAATGTCGGCTGCTATCGCCTCTGATTGACAGGCAGTGTCCTGAGCGAGTGAAACATCCTGCTCTGCTTCCGACTCATCCTCTCCCTCCGCTCCCTGCAACAAGGGCCGCTCTTTCTCCGGATCTTCGTCTTCCTCCTTCAGCTTTTGTTCCAGCGCATCTCCATTTACATCTGGATCAACAGGCAGAAACAGATGAAAGAGACGACAGCGGTAGATGGGAGCAAGAAGGAGGTGTGGATCAAAAGCACCGACCTCTTATCTTCGCTTCCTCTTGTGCTTCTAAACCTTCTGGAAAGTGGATGCTCAGGGATCCATCCATCCCGTTGTGTTCCTCTGATTGAATTTCAAGCCTCTGCATGGACCAGACACAAAGTGGTACACAATAAAAATTTAGAACTGCTTTGGATGGTTCTGCTGTTTGGTTGTTGGTGCCTCCGCTTTTTATGATATAATTGAACGGTTTACAAATGCTTACTCCTGTTTATGAATCAGAGAAGCAAGTAAACTTGTCTAGATGATTTTCTGTGGCCTTGTTTTTTTCTCTAAACCTCAGGATTGAAGACTATAACTACGACTAATAATAGTAGTAATATATGTGATATATTTAGTAAAATTTTTGAATTAACAGATCAGCAACAGGTGGAATGTTTTTCCTGAAAAAATTATAGCTATAAATTACAATATATGATAAAATCCATATTGCGCAACCTTTTGTCGGTCAAACTTCAAAACAAAAGATGAAAATATCTAAAAAAAAAAAGATGTGTGTGATAGAAAAAGAAAAGCAAATGCATTTTTAATTCAATGTGAAAAATAAGCTAAGGGACACATAAAATTTGCTATTGACCAGTGTTATTATTTTATGTTAGGCTTACATAATGGCCAGGCCAGTTTGTATCAACTCAAAAAACAAAAATTAGTGAAGAAATACTTTTGTTGTACTGTGAATGCTAAAGCATTTCATGCTAGTGAATCTAACGATGTCATTCTTTCCTCAAAACAAACACATAACAAACAAATCCAAGATTAACTACTGTTATACTGCTGTTAACGCTACGAAACAAAATTCTTTGGAAACACCCTGAAAGAACGGTAATACATCATTCAGAAGTTGACCTTGGCTGGTAAGTGGCAGCTTGAGCAAGGCCTTTTTCTATCCCAGCCCGACTGTGTCAGTGAACAAAGGAATGATCTATAGACCAAGTCTGTACTTTGGTCAAAATAGTGTGGCTATAAAACGTAGAGCACACATTTTTTTTTTTTTTTTTTTTTTACCATGACGTTGGCTGGGGTTTCTCCAACTTGGGGCTATGAAACTTAAATGGGTCACAGTAGGACTTATTAGAGAGCTGACTGTTCCAGTAAAAATGCCGAAAGCTATTTTATTGATCATCAAGCAGGGCAGGCACGCATCATGTTCAGCATGTCAATGCAACAACAGTTTGGCTCCAGGGGAGGAACCGCTTTTCAGCAGTACGAGAAATGCACAATACATCCAGTATTTTTGTTCTTACGTTGGCAGGTTTCCTCCTGTTGCAGGCCTTGTGTCTCAGGCCCAGCTTGTGTTTGGCAGCAGAGTTATCCAGACAGCCAAATGGGCTTGCAGGCTGACTGAAATCTCCCGGAACCGTCACCAGGGGGCTCACTGCTCTGCTGGAAGCAGCGCAAGACAACTGGGGAAAGAACAGCAACAGAAGGTTTCAATGAAATCTTTCACTTCAGTTATTTAGCCATCCATCTTCTAAACCGCTTGTCCTCACCAGGCTCACTGGTGAGCTGGAACCTATCCCATATGACAGGGGAAAGGGTATATCATGGACTGGTCGTCTGTTAGATCAATAACCGTTAACGATCACATTTATGCCTTTGGACAATTTAGATCTTTGGTTCGAGCCGGAGACATCTTGAATGGGATTCAGGGATGTCAACCGTAAAACACCGTGTTGCCTTTATTTGATAATAATAAACACTGTGACTAAGTGGCCCATTTTCAAGTGTGACATTTTCACTGAAACTTATGGGAGATGATCAGTGAGAAAAATCCAAACGAATCTTGGCAAAATGAAACCCAAATACCAACTATAACCACAACTCTGTCTGCCATTGTTTGGGGAGATTCGTTCCAGACACTGCAGCTCACATCACACATGAGTCACTGACTTGTTGTGGATTTGAGAAGGAAACTTCAAACCATGAAATGATGGTTGCTCGGTGTTGAAAAGTTAAGATTCTTGCTTGAATGATGAAGTCTGCAGATAGGAAACCAAAAAGGAAATAGAGCACGACTGCGAGCGAGTGTGTCCAGCTGTATAAATATTAGCTATGCTTTAAACACGACACTAACGCTTGCGGTGTTGATTGTACTGTCGAGGCTGTGCTCCGCTCCATCAAGAGAAGATTTCAGACTTGGAAAACTTCCAAGAAAAACTTAAGTACGACAAAGAGAACTCACTTTAGAAGTTGAAGTGAAATGTTCAGAATGTGTGTGTGTGTATTTAACCTCTTCACTTTCCTCCATTTTGACATGTTGTCGCCTAATTCCAAATTTACAAACACACATCTTACACTTCAGTTTTTAGATTCTATTCAAACCTGGGTACTCTTCTGTCTTGGCCCCTCCACCCTCAAATAATTATCGTCCCCCGTCCACATCCGTCCGTGTCCCTCTAAAGCGCTTCTGTCCCAAATGATATCACTGTTTCTTCATATTTTTAATGTCTTCGTGATAAGCAACTACACATTAGTATTTCACAACACAAAAATTAGTTACTATGATAAAATAACAATAAAAACTTCAGCATGGTGGACAGGTACACAGCCAGCTTTCTTAACCGGCTGGATTGATCGTTAGTGATATGGGTGTCCGTAGGCACTTTGTTATGGTCTCTGACTGTACACTAGGTGGCATTGTTGCTATAAAAATACTGTTGAGATGAAATGGCCTGTTAAGAAAATACAGTGTTTGGCTACACTCTGGCTGGAGGGAGTGGAAACCCCGCACAATTTCTTCACGTTTCAAATGGCAAGTGTGAGCACGCCCTAAAATGCTCTGGAAGATGTCACAAACAGCTACATGGGTAAAAGGAGCATTTGACAAGTCCAAGAGACTTTTGTGTGCATGTTTGTTGCTCACCAGTTGGGGTTGTTTTCAGCAGGAAAAGCCCACATTTGCTTAAATAGATTCAAGTGCATATCATTAACTTGTCATGCTTTTGTTGACTGCACTTTGGGTGCACATTAAAGGCACTAAACTTGTCACCCAATTTGAATAGGCATCTTTACTTTGCTGTAGAGTAGATCTAAAAATAAGATTGCTTTGCCCATCAGGATTGTTTAAGTGCAAAAACAACGCTCACGACAGCAAGTTATGAAAGTTGCAACTAAAGTATCACGAGTGTGGTTCAAGACAAAACTGATTTTTTAGCGTTTGAACAAGGTTGAAAGATGGAACTAAAGAGAGAAAGGAGGTCAAAACCCATGAAGGGGGCTTTTAGAGTAACCACGAGCGATTCAACTGAATCATGAGATGTTTTTTCCGTCGTCGTCACATGGGAAATTTTTCAATAATTCAAAGCTATGCTGCACAGCCTAACATGTCCCCCTGGCGTTCATGAATCACACTGAGTGTCTTTCTTCACTGGCTTGAACCGATTACCTGGCCTACATTTAAATACCTGAGTTGTTTTTGACGACTTCCAGTTGCCGCTGAAAATAAGAGAAGGCGATCCCCTTGTGCTTTGTTGTTACTGTTCTTCCTGATATGATCTGGTTGTTACAACAAATTGTCAATTGGGCAAACTGCCTTTTTCGAGGGCATTATTTACTACAGGGGTCTCTGACGGAGTTCCTAAGGCTGTGATGTGCCCCAGATTTATATGTAAAACAGAGGAGGCCGTAATCACTAACATATGCTAACGCAGTAGTAAACTCATTATTAGAGTAAAAAATGTCTTAAAAAATACTTATTGTTTATAAATGAAACCATCAAATGAAAAAGAGTCGATGGCGGCCGAATGAGGCTTCTTGTGCTGCGTGATGATGAAATTTTATGCCACCACACAAACGAGTTCATTAAAACAGTGCTCATAACCTTGAAATTGTGTTGGAACCGTCACAAAACAAGAAACATCGGTATCTAAAACTCTCCAGTTGAATGAGATCAAGGTTGACTGTCTGGTCCTGGCTCTACAGTTACCTGGTCCTCGTCACTGTCTAATCCCTCCAGGCTGACGGAACTGTTTCTCTGGGCCTGATTCTGAAGGACACAGGTGGAGAGAAACGAATGCATGCACGTGTGAGAAGTTGTGGTCATTAGGTGGACCATATAGTGTACATGTTACCATGGCTGCTTGAGATGAAGTGGACTCAGGGGGACTGCATGGCAGACCGTCATCCTCCGACATGGTTCCGGCATCTTCTGTCCTCTTGACACACATCAGCGATGGAGGGGAGCCCAGTCTGATGGCCTGCTTCAGCTGGAGCTGCAATTCCATGAAAACAACACAGCCTACATTTTGTTGTCTACTTTTTGAAAGTACAAAAGAAAACAAAAGGTCTACTGTGAAGGGGGTTCTCGATACCGCGTATGACATTTCAAGGTTAAAAATGGTGCCCATTGAACTAGAACTGCTTTGCAAGAACATTGCCATGCAGCTTGCTTAGTTACTCTTATACGTACTGTTTTTAATTCGATTGTTTCATAATCATAGCAAGAAGCGTTTTTCATACATTTGTGTTCCAAAATAGCTTTGTTTTCACAGAGCTTTTTTAGGAAGATAAAGGCTAACCTAGTTAAGGTGTGACAGTCTTTTTAGATTTTCAGTCAGAGGTCAATTTTTTGGAGGAAAAAAAAGTCTTAGATATGCTGCCATGACAGTTAGGTGGGGCAAAAAAGGGCAGCAGTCATTGCTTATATTTTTTATTAAACGGGACAAAATGCAAAATGAGAAGACTTGCATGGAGCTGAAGTACATCAAAACCTCACGTTTAGACCTCAAAATCATTCTAGACTATAACTGGCATTATTTCTGTTGTCACTCACTATGCCCCGCCCCTTGAAGGTGCACACAGTACAAAATTTCAGTTGTAGCTGTGAAGCATCATGTCTCAACCTGGAGTAACTACATTCATCCATTCATTTTCCAATCCGCTCATCCTCAAAAGGGTCGCGGGGGGTGCTGGAGCCTATCCCAGCCGTCTTCGGGCAGTAGGCGGGAGACACCCGGAACCGGCCAATCGCAGGGCACACACAGACGAACAGCCATCCGTGCTCACACTCACACCTAGGGACAATTTAGAGTGTTCAATCAGCCTGCCAAGCTTGTTTTGGGATGTGGGAGTACCCGGAGAAAACCCACGCAGGCCCGAGGAGAACATGCAAACTCCACACAGGGAGGCCGGAGCTGGAATTCACCCCGGTATCTCTGCACTGTGAGGTCGACGCATTAACCACTGGACCACCGGGCCGCCCGAGAAGTCAAGTTTGGTCTTTGCACATTCAATGACCAGGATTCGAACCAGGATTGCTGCAGCCACAACGCAGGGTACTAACCACTACATGATCACAGTCTCGAGTAACTACAGTTTAGTTAATTAAAAAAAAAAAAAAAACACTTCACATCTTTACGTTCTCTTTTAATATGCGTTATCATGTTTTTTATACAGTTCAGTAGGGCTGGGTGATAATTAAATATCAATATGTTGCGATATAATCAATCTTAATAGAAATTCTGCCAAAATAATACTGATTAAAAAAATTAAGAAATCAGCACGTAAGCCCTCCATCGGCATTATGCCTGCTGTCGGCAGAGGCTATATTAGGAAGTTAGATGCGTGCCACCACATAGGCACCGAAGATGACATGTGGAGGATAAAAATGTGTTTTTAGTGCACAACCATTTCTGGAAACCTTGTCCGCTGACTGTTTGAGAGTCTCTTTCCTTGTTTACATAGGACCGTCTCACTGGTGTAGAGTATGATTAACAGACAATGACGTGCTCATACAGTGACTAGAGAGGGGTAAGTGTTTAATTTTGGCAATGTGTGTGTGGGTGTATGTCTGTTTGTCGGGAAGTATCACAGAAACCAAAATACTTGATCTGTTTGCTGCATGTTCATCTGGTACTGTCAATCAGTGACTCATTTATCAAGGTGCAAAACAAACACTGTATGTTACTTTTTTTTAATCGCGTTAACTGTTGTAGGGCTATTAATAGTAGCATGCATATAATGTCACAATATTTGCTTTGAAATACCTTGAGGGTCCAGGTTATTCAAAATATCTGTCGATATTCTATCACACAATAGTTGAATAGTTTATCTTCATAAAAATGTCATCGCTATCAAACAAATCCAAGTTTTAGAAAGTGTCCTGATACTCTTCGAAACACACACATAAAAATAATACTTTGACCTGGATCATGTGGTGGGATGGAGGGCAAACATTCAGAAACAAGGCCACATAGTGGGTGGCAAAATGTGCAATCTTTATCCAATGTGCAGCTTGCTTCTTACATAATATGTTTACGCCACATTTGGCTCCACATGTATCAAAATGACAGGCCAGCTCAGAGTTGAGTTTACGGTCAAGATTTCTTGATCAGATCCTTCAAAAGTTGAGTTTTTGGGAATGTGCAAATATTTTACAAATGAACCGATCATTCTTTAGGTTTATGTTACATTCAATTCACTTTATCACACAAGAACGTTTCATCAGTGTCAAATCTGCTTCGGGGGTTTCAGTGTGTACACAGTTTAGAGGAGCAGTTTAAGTGGGGGTCAGTCTTTCTAAGTCTTACATCTTCCTTCTGGAGCCATTTGTGGTGATGAATTGTTCAGTCAGTCTGCTCTCTTTACCATCATTAAAATCTGTTTGGACACTTTAGTTTTGGCTCCGACTGCCTGGAATGTACATTACAATTAGCACATGAAGATGTTACCACGATACAAACACACTCTAATACAAGCAACATTTATGCTTGTTATTCTGCTACATTCCCATCACTGAGGTATTATCTCAATAACATGAAACGGCTTTTTTTTTTTTTCAAACTTATTATTTTTTATGAATTGAAAAGTCTGAACAACATTGCCTTATGAGCCAAACATTGTTTTATGGCTGCAGAGCTCAGATCATTGGCCCGGTTTGTGGTCAATTTCTGTAGTGAAGTGATACAGTAGTTGCAAGTGTACCTGAAGAGATTTCACTTTCCCATGAATGCTGTCCTGAGAAGCCCCCAGAGCCTCATTGGCCTCTGACGAGTCCGAGACAAAGACGGAGTCGTGTGACAAGGCCTTGCTGCCCAGGCTAATCTTTGACCTTTGGAAAACAGGAAACAGGGAGAAAAGAACAACAAAAAAAAAATCACCAAACCAAACCAGACAAACCATTTGCCTGCTCGACTTCCATATTTAAAGGGACATTTCTTTCCGATATTGTGGGTTCTTCCATTTTAAAAGTGGTGCATATTTATCGGAAGAGCCACAACAGGAAGTGGCAGTCACACGTTTTTTGTTGTTGTTTCTAAAGAAAGGAAATCAGGACTGTTCTGAGGAAGAGATGCGCCACTACTTAAAACAAATGCAGGAAAAGGCAGTCCTGTATTGCCGTGAGACTGGGAAACTGGGTATGGACACTTAATATCACTGGAAGATCAGGAGATGGACGAAAAATAACACTTCAGTTGATAATCATGATGTTGACTCCTTTTTTTAATGTTCTCCCTCGCAAACTAAGACGATTATTACTTATAGGATGCTAAAATAATCCCCGATCGATTTGGTTGTTTTCCAGCACTTGAAATACAAAATCAGTCAGTAAACTACAAACGTGACTTATGTTTAAGCATGTTGAATGCAATACCGAAGGATGAATTGCATTCACGGATTACACTGATGGATATTGAATCTGTATTGTACATTCGTAATTTTTTGTGGGGAGGGAAACATTCTTCGACAAGTTGTATGTTTGTTATTAAGATGCCACATTTGACATTTGTGATGTAAGATGTTGAGGGTGAATTGTCATCTAAATAGAAATCGAAACGGCATTTCTACTTGACTGACATTATGAAACTTTCAGCACAGCCATATGAGCACGTGTAAATATGTGCGAGTCTGATCTTACCCTTTCTCCTTCTCCGAGCGACTGAGTGTATTGTTTTTGGATGTTTTACTAATATTGTCGCTCGACTGGCTGCCTTGAAGCTCTGCATCATCCCCGGATGGCTCCTTTTTCTTCTTCCTGACAAAGAAGTTTTTAAAAGTCTGGAACTTGGACTTCTTCTTTCCTGAAGGAACACAAGAGAGGAACATGTTTGAAAACGGGAGCCGTTTGAAACGTGCTTGAAGATTTTTGCTCTCCTGTTGGTCATCTCCTGACTCGCTCAAACAAACGCCACAAGGGTATTCTAATGAGACAATTACACACACACAGCATCTTTATACACATCCAAAATAAGAAGTGCAGTTCCCGCAATTTGCCCGTTGGCTTTAATAGCCCAAGTAGGCACATGAAGTAAACCCACATGTGCATGCGTGTTCACACAGATGAGCACATAAACACAACGCGTATGCCGGTAAAGGCTTTCTCAAGTGACTGCAGCTCCATTAGCACTGCGGTGGAAAACTCAACAACTCTTTTATAACCTTTTAAACAGCTACAAAGTGCTTGTAGTCAGAAGAGCACAAATGGAGGTGGTGGGGGAGTTGGGGCAAATGGTTCAGTGGAAGGTTATGAGACTGATTTTTCAAGACATAATGAGGGAGGTAATTTAATGAAAAAGATTTTTTTTCATTGCATCAATAATTATTTTCAAAATAGATGGTAATTATAGTGATAACCCAGTTCTACTTGGTTCACCTGATTAAGAACAGTAGTTATTGGCTCCGCAATAAGAGGAACACCATCATATTGGCCCTTGCCAACAAGAAAACGGTGCTGTTTCAGATTTGACCGAAGACTACATTTAATGACATCAGCAACAAACAACAGAGGGCAAAAATGAAGGTATCAGAAAGTACGGGTGTCTTTTATTCTGGGAGAAACCTTTATGGACTGATTACACTGGAGCCCAGACTTGACAAATTGTTCAGTCAACATTTATGTTCACTTCAATGAATGGCATTCACATTGATTTCCATTTTGCTCTTTTCCGGGGGTAAAAAGAAAAAAAAAACAGAATAAAACCAACAACAACAAAAAAAAACATAGAAACATACATATATACGCTGGGTGCTCAAAGAGTTTTAAGCCGCACCTTCACTTACATGTAAACTTCTATTGAACTGAAAGCACAGTGCCTGCAGTCGTTTTAACTCCTAAAATGTAAAATGTTTTATAATTGCTTACTTTAACCAGGATCCAGCTCCGCATCGCGGCCAAAGGTAGAATGATCAGTTGGTGTCGTACAAAACAAATCCTCGTTGCCAACAATGGGTATCGGCGTGCGTCCTACAGCTAAGCTCAGGAACTAAGTTGAGGAGAAGTTCTTTGTGGAGCGACCGTCTTTCATTTTTTGCCATGCGTGATGGTGTGAGAGAGACCGCTTTCTAAGTTATGTATCAAATCCAGATGTAAGTACCTGGACCCGTTGATCTCTCATATTCAACTTTTGATGTGAAACACAATTGGCCTTACTGTTCCATTAATTTTGGAGGGGAATGTACAGTAAGTCAAAGACAACCTACCTCCCTGCCTAATCTGCAACATTGCCCAGTTCTTTGAATGAACTAAAAAGGCCCTTGGAGACACCAGCTCACAAAGTTCTTCTTCTGTAAAACTCGAAGCCATGTGGATATATAAACTTGGTTCATGATGTGTAATTCTAACAGAATTAGTCCAATACTTAGTGTATATTTAAGTCTATTTGAATTCCAAACATAATTTTGGGGTGCTATGTTGGGGTTATAAAATATTTGACATGAATCACATTTTACTTGTCTGAGTTGTTTATATCAGAGAATCCTTGAGCATTCCTTTGCGTCTCGATTCAACTAAATGAAAATATGTTTGGAATCTGAGGACAGGAGATGCACATGTTGTCAAGCAGTATTTCCCACACTTTATCCGTATTAGCTATTTTTGTGTCAAACACGAAGGAATGTATTTTTCCAGATCATCACTGTGTGTGTTGGCAACCGATTCTCATTTTCCTTGTCTGTCAACACAAAGTGAACAGTTTTAGCTGGACTTGAAGAGCTTCCAGCATACTTTTGATGAGGCTTCAGAGGCTTTTCAGCAATATAAAAGTGAAAGTCAGGTGGAAACACTATCAGGTATTTTTATTGTGCTATTTCAGGTACAATATGTCACTCAGGTAAAAATTTGCACACAGAGACCGCTCATATCATGGAAGGTCAGCCTGAGTGACTGAAACGTGACATTTTACCCAATTACAGTCTTTCCTTCACTATCATGACTTACACACATGCATGTTATCATTTAACTTGATGGGAATTTACCAACGGCACTCGCAGCGGGAAAACGATGACCTTTGACAAGGGAGGAAAAAAAAATAAAGGGTGGTAAAGCAGATCAACACCGACATTGCATCAGCGTGTGTGAGGAGTGAAACTATGAGGTCATGTTGTATCTGAGAGCAGTTGGCCTCATGACTTTCAATCAAGTGGAAGGACAACATGTAATAAACAAGCAGCAGGAGAACAGCCTAGAATGACAAGTTTCTTAAAAAACAAGATTTAATACACCACAATGCATTATTTCTTCCACAATTTCCAAGGTGTGCCATCCCTCTTGCAGGTAAACTGTATAGAAAATTAATGAATGGATGGATGAATGAATGTCTATTTTAATTCATCCATCCAGTGCTTGATATACACTGTGGAATTCTATACCAGTGGACCCACAATCATCAATGCTCCCCTTAAAATAAAAAAAATAAAAAATGTCTGTCTCTCTGTGCAGCCCAGTTAGTACTACATGGCGAATACCAGTAATTGGCAACCACTGCTCTTAGTATAAGCCATCTCGTTCTGCAGATCCAATCAAAACACAGAACATTCTATTATAATTAGACACGAAAGGGAGATAAGTCGCCTGTTTACCGCTCTCACTGGAGAGCAGCTGAACACAACAGGACATGATGTGAGAGGGGTACACGACACTGCCTCCTTGTTACGATCATATCATCCATCAGTGTGTGTTATTTATCTCTGTGACAATGTGATGTGCTTGGGTATGAGAGGTGATGTTAGGTTTCTCTGCTTCTTCATTTCCTGCTAGCAGCTGCAGTAAGGCCATCCAAAATATCTGCAGCGACCGGGCAATCTCTGCTCTGCTTGACACTGACAACACATAATTTTATTTCAATATAATATCCTGGGCGGCACGGTGGACGACTGGTTAGCATGTCTGCCTCACAGTACAGAGGTGCAGGGTTTGATTCCGGGTCCCGGCCTTCCTGTGTGGAGTTTGCATGTTTTCCTCGTGCCTCCCATATTACACAAAAATGCATGACAGGTTAATGGAACACTTTAAATCGTCCCTAGGTGTGACTGTGAGTGCAAATGGTTGTTCGTCTGTGTGCCCAGCGATTGGCTGGCAACCACTTTAGGGTGTACCCCGCACACTGCCCGAAGACGGTTGGGATGGGCTCCAGCATTCCCCGTGACCCTCGTGAGGATAAGCGGCTCAGATAATGGATGGATGGATAATATCCTATTGAAAATATCGTCAGCTATTCTATTAATCTGGAGCCCAACTTCTGAATTTTAAAGTTGTGAAATGTTATCAAATTATAATGACATTACATTCTGGTTGTGAAATGTTATCAAATTATAATGACATTACATTCTGGGATTAAACATACTTAGTTCACACAAAAAATGGAAAAAAAATTACAATTGTACATGACTTCCACCCATTACGAGATGACATGAGACTTCGGTTTAAGAAACAATCATTTTGACACTGGAGCCCAACTTTTCCTGTACAAAGTGGCACATGGGCCCATTAAAATATTTATACTCAACATTGATTTCAATGATGTAACTCTGGTTACATTTTAAGAAGCTAAAAATTGTCAAATCATCACACGTGCTCCTACTGCACATGCGAGACGATGAACTGGCCCACAATTATTGGAAAAAAACCCAAAACAAAACAAAACAGGCTGCTGCCAAGGAACAATGCATAGACACGTTGACACAAAAATAAACAATGATTTCATTTGACCAAAGTAAAACAAGGAGTCACTCTAAAACAACTTGCACCCTGCAGTTGTCCAGTTAGTTTGAGGGAAGATCTTGAGCATCCATCTTTCACACTTACATTCACATTAATGGCCACAATCAACCCGAAATGTTTCGAGGAAGATAAGAACACCAGAGGAACAAGCTAAGCCGGGATTCAAACCCAGAACCTCTTAACTTTGAGATAGATGCCAACCAGTGATCACTACATCACCGTGCTGCCCGACAATTAGAATAAAAGGTAACTAAAATGAAGCTGTGTGTATGTGAGACATGCGCCTTTCTTTTGCACAAAACTACCGGTACCAAGTACAAACATCAGAACTCAACTCAACTCAAGTGTATTTATAGAGCACTTTCAAACAGCCAAGGTGATATATGTTGACGAAGAGTAAAGCCAGAACTTTACCATATATTGTGTTCACTGAATGAATATACCTGAGCACTCTTCTGCAACCTCAGCAGGCTCCTGGTTGGCCATCACATCTGGAGGTCCGGATGCCATGGCGGCAGGGTCACTGCTGCAAAAGAGATGAGCACGGTGAGCCTCTGCATCACTGCAAGGATTTATTTAGTCGAAACCGTAACTATTTGAATCCGTGATTGTAAGGTATCCGTAGGATAAACATCCTGTGTTTTACCCTCCTAGGGCTGAAGATTTCTATTTGAGCGTCATTGTGCCTCATATACTGGTGCTGCCTGTCCACTTGTAAGGGAACTGCACTGACATGATTACAATGTGATTCAAGTGTAATTCAAGTGAAAGTGTCTTGTGGCTGGATGAGACAAACTATTTTCAGTTACGACAAGGAGTTTCTATTTTTACTCCAATCCGAGAACCTCAAACACACTGCACAATCAAGTTCGAATACTGTCATCCCATGGGGCATCCGAGCTATATTTAAATTATCGGCTGATGCCCATGTACTGTAGCTCAGCCAGGCAGGGGAAAACATGCCCATATGAAAAGTACCTGCAGTATCTTTTGAAATGTTAATCATTGATCTCACGCCAGGAAGTTTGAGCCATGTGACAATATGGCCACAAAGCGTTGCAACGGGAGAAGCGCTCTGATGAAAGAAGAATGCGATGACGAGTCATGACTATTCGAGTTTTTAGGTTGACATCAAAGACAAATTGTCGTGTCACGATGGTGTTTTTAAATCATTCTTTTCTCGACACTTGATATGTTATCGTTATTTGGGTGTTCAGAAAGGTGATCATTAATAAAATACTGAATCACAAGTGCTGGAAGATAGAACCACCAGTTTGTGCATCTATCAAAAGAAAAAGAAAGAGGTCTGTGTAATACAATGTTTCATACGATGCGACAGTCTTTAAAATGTATGTGTGTGAATGTATTACCGTAAGCATTATTCAATTCATTGGCTTTCAGGTACAGAGAAATAAAATTGCAAATGTGACGATTCTATCATTGATACATTTTGGGTGCTATTTGAATAACATATGAATCTAAAACCTCATATAATAATGAGGAGGCACAGTTTTGTTTTATTTTATTAAAAACAGATGAAAATGTTCAACTGGTGATTTCTTGCTGTACTGTTTTGGAAAAAAAATGTTGTTTTTAGACTGTTTCCAAGTCGACCACGCTCGCCATGATGCTTGCTTCTGTTGTGAAGGGGGTTTCTCTTTTCCCACAAAGGAAGCAGCTAACATGTTTCATCTGTGTTTAGATTATTGCAGTGAACGGAACATTCTGGAGTTTGTCAACACGAAGACAGTCTTTCTACAACAACCAATTTCACCAAACCCTTTGTAAAAAGCCTTCTTCCCCATTCTGCCCAGCAGAGAGAATTAATCGAAACAATTTGGTTCTAAAGAGCGTTTTATCATGTCACACAGACATATTATCAGTCATGAGCTAAAAAGCAGTGATGGAATCACTTCCGTATGTTGTAAAAAACAGGAAACAATAACGTTCTCAGGAAAGACCATGATGAACACTCAGTAACATGAGTGCTAGGCAAAAATGCTCTACAAAACATGAAGCATTGACAATAACTGGTGTAAAATGCATAAACACATAGACGATAAATGGAATATACACTGCAATTATATTGAATAAAATGAAGTGCCTCCCTCTTGACAGAAGTGAAGCATGAATAGGCCTGCGGTTTGCATTGTTTGGAGAGAAAACAAAAGAATGATGCCATATGACGGACTCTCAGACGTGATGTAAAATTATTTCTAAGACCAAGTGAAAGAATTCCAAGAATAGTTCATTTGGGGTTAGCCTTTTGTCTTTAGCTTCTGTAAGGCCTGTGTTTTTGTATACATGTGTGTGCGTGTGTGTTTGTGTGTGTTTAACCTCGCTCTTTTGGCTCTAATATTTTTGGGACATCATATCTTGTGACTGCAAAACAAATTTGGATTTTAAGCCTAAAAGTGAGTTTCTACCTGTGCTTTGTGACCAAGCCAACAGTTGATTTAAACCGCAGGGTCAGAAAATACACTAACCTACCAAACAGCCAGATCAACGTGGCAGAAATGAATGAGGCCGTGTTTTGATTGACCCCATCACACGATTCTTTCACTCCCCATCTGGAAAAAGCAGGCCGCCTCATTTCTGATGGTGAGCAGGTATATGTTGTACTATTTTTAAAGTGATACATTTGAAGTGATATTTGTCAATTGGCTGTGATAGAAAGTTATAAAGTTAAGGCTAATAATTGTCATATGCAGGATTGGGGGGACACAATTACTTGCGCTGTACCTTTGGATCAAAGGTGCTCCACTTCAGTTTTGAAGGTGGCAGCAATCCACATTTTTAAGCTGTCGTCAAATTTCTAAAACTAATCAGAAAGTCCAGACATCTGAGGTTCGGTAAATCGAATGCTACAAACAGCAGCAACAACAAACAGACGTGCATTGCTGATCATGTACTTGTCGATCTGTGCCTAAATTTCATACTGAGGGGCACAAATAGACAGAAGGAAACGTCTGTGTACAATTGAAATCAGGCCAAAGGTCTGATTTTCACAAGTCCCAGCCGATCACTCCATGACTTTTGCCAGTGTCTCTTTGTTCATGCCCTAACATCCAAATAAGGCTACAAGTGGAATGCGCTCCATGCACTCTTTTTGTTTAGGTCAGTGTACTCAATGCATATTTTGAGATGACTTTCAGGGCTTCAAATGACTAAAAAGACATGTCAAAGAAAGATTGCTGGTATGTGAGATAAAGTAGCAGCTGCTAATCTTAAGAACTCAGGACATTCATTGAAAAGATCATCTGGTTTGGGCAAGCTCCCCCACCCCCTGCCCAGAATTTCTATTTAGTTGAGTCATTAGAGCTGGATCCAAATTCTGTTCTAATTAAGGATCTCCTGCACCCCACAATTTTCTATCCGGCCCAGACGATTTAGGTTGTCGGAAGTCCTTTTTGGAGGACTTAAATTCTATTATGCAAAGGAGAAACCAAAGGAGAGAGGTAGAAGTAATTGCTCCACATTTGCGAATTTCATCATTCGTGGGGATGAGTATTGAATGACACGATAATGATGAGTTTTGGTAAAATGTAATGAGTCATGGTCAAGAACAGTGGTGCGCAACCACCGGGCCACTTATGACGAGGGTCGCGGAGGGCCGCACAAATGAAAGAAATACAACATTACAAAAAATATTTGATCTTAAAAAGTGACGGGATTCTCGCCGTTACATCCGTCTGTGACTGACTCTTGATGCATGTCTATTTGTCTTGTTTGCGTAATGCTAATATTAAATCCAGAGGGTAGCAAAATGATTAAAATAAACAGACGTATTTGGAAAATTTCTTTGCGCTGGGAAAAAGAAATCAACACAAGAGCCAATGCCCAAAAAGAAAAAGAGGTGCATTTAACAGAAAATACACAAATACCGACTTGAAATCTGGATTTACGGCGATAGGCGATTCCCACGCCTAAACGAAGCCTGCTCTACACAATATGCTGCGAGCGGCGGCTCTCCGATGTGTCAATGAAGTCTTGAAAACTGATTCGTCAACAAAGTGCCTGCGGAGCGTCATACTTGGTGGTGAATCGTAAAGTAATCCAATATTGGTGAAAAAAAACAACTTTGAATTTGTGTTTATTGCTGGAGCTTTGTACTCTCCCCACAGCCCCACACTGATATTTGAAGGACAATTTAAATATTAAACACTCATTTGTATGCTGATCACTACGGACACTGTTTTATTTTCATTTTGCATTTTTCGACACTTCAGCATTTTTTAGGAAGCAGGTTTGACTTTTTCTGCGTTTTTTTGGGGTGTTTATTCTTATTGAAACGTGCCAGTAATTTGAGTCATACTGATGCAATGACATAACGATTAAAAATACATAACTAAATAAATAGAGAAAAATGGAAATATTTTTCCTTTCTGTTTTGGAAAACATACACATATACTTGAAAGCATTGTCAAACCAATCTTTGACACTTTTCAACACATGCCAAGACTAAACACCATTTTCAGCATTTTGATGGAAATGAAAACGGATATTTTTTTTTTGTAAAACTTCATCTTTTAACAAAACGGGTTTTCAGGCTCCAGGATACAGTTTTCCCACAAAGGAACGCCAAAACCAAAACACTTTTGACTTGTTTTCAGTTTGAAATGATATTGCATGAGGCCCAATTGCTCCTCCCCTGCCCTCATTTATGCAACATTCAGTTTTTGTGTGTTCATAAATTTTCCACGCCAAAAGTCTTTAGTACTGTCCAATCCAAGAAATTCACGTTTCATAGCCTTATTTTCTGTGGAAACGTCAGGGGTCTGGCTGTCTAAATGACTGACCTTCGCCCGCTTCCAAAGCTGGCTCCCCACGGCGACATTCTCCGCTTCATCTACGAGAAAGATGGGGGACGATGAAGAAGAACGATGGAAGAAAAAAGATGAGCAGTCACGATGAGGTCATTCATGAAGCGCAAAGGAAATGACAGAGAGCGATCCTATGAGAAAACAGTGGAGACAAATAAGGGAGAAAGAGCAGGAGAGGAGTGGGGGTCACAGATGGGATTGTGGGAAAAAGCAGCATGGAAGAAAAACAAAAGGCAGTTAGATAAACTGACAACCAGGAAGAAGGAAAGCAGATGAACAGTAAAGAGAAGAGCCCTTTAAGCATCAAGCACCAGTGTGTTTTTGAACCAAACATGCCAAAAGTCCCATTGCAGCCCCTTACACAATGACCATCTGACCATTTTTTTTTTTGTTTTTTTTTTACTGCCTTTTTACTAGCTTGGTGTCTCGTGTGTAAGGTCCTGGCATCAGATGGCGTGTTCTAGTCGAAACAGAAATTTGCCAACTTCTGAGGCATAACAGACAGAATGCGCCCAGTGTGCATAAGTGTGAGGTCGAACATTTGAGTCCCACACCGTTTTGTGTTGAATGTAATTGAGGCCACACGTTAATTATTATTATCTTTACGCGGAAAAAGGCAAGAGCGGTGTTAATGCGCAAACCAATGTCCCGCTTCAGTAAATTTGACAGTGACAACTTATTTTTTGGGGCAAATAAATAAATAAATTAAATGTATGTGCACATCCAGTATCTGTGCCATGTGGCCATCAGAATGTCTTATGCTGCCTTTACCCCAGCCTACGCAATACCGGCTTGCTTGTGCAAAAAAAAAAAAAAAAAAGCTACCTTTGGAAACATTGGGAACATGGAGGAGTAAAAGCATCCTGTATGTACTTCACATGCAGAGGCTATTGAACACTGTCAGCCAACAAACTATATTCAAGGAGGCTGACGGCAAACAAAAGAAACAGATGACTGCGGCAACATAGAGATTGAGGAGTAAGACTGAATGAGCCGGAGCCAATTCATAGCAACAAGGCAAGCTAATATTAGCATGTGTATGTGTACTTTTGTCATCTCCAGCAGTGTATCCTCAAATGTTAAAATCGTGTGGCAATGTCCAATGAGCGACTTGCGGTGGTAGCGCGTGGATGAACGGATCATCTCGAACCTCTAATTTTCCGAGCCATTTCCCTGGCACTTTTCTCGGGTTGGACAACTTCAATGATATCTGAAAACAATTAGCCTCATGAAATATTTCAAGCCACACAGACACATCACTCGGAAGTGAGAGGGCGAATGGGAGAAAACACTGAAATAAGAGTAGACAGCAAGTCCGAGTCGTGAGTAAGAAGCCTTGGGTGGGCCGGCAGTGGGGGGCAGAAAGGAAGGGAGGATAAAGAGGGCATCAACTTGGGGGCATGCAGGGTCAAGCATACAGGATGTGTCCTTGACATAGACACAGGAAGAGCTCAGCTCATGCAACAGAACCCTTGGGAGCCATTGTTGCACCGCCGTGTCCTGGTCCGTTGGGGGTTTGGGTTTGAAAGAACTTTTTAAATTTATTGTATTTATTATTTATTTTACTTTTTTATTTAAGTAGACACATTATTACAAAACAATGTACGGAATACAACGTAAAATTAGAACAAAGTGGTTTGCATATATTTCCACAAAACTCCAAGGCACTCAAATAATATCTCAGGAGATTCAGACAAAGGACCACGATGTACTAATCGTCCGACACTTGATTACACATCAGCTTTACTACAGTTTATAGAAGCTCTGTACGCCTGTGCTAATAATGAGCACGACTTGGCAGTTGATTTCAGGCTAATGATGCGTTTGCTGTGGAAGAACAGAACAGACGAGACCTTGCTAGCCCACTTGAGTGATTGTGCCCAAATGTTTATGAATGATAAAAAAAATCTCCTCACTGACAGTACACCATGTATCAAGTCTTTCAGAAGAGCGGAAGCTGTTTTGGCTACAAAAATATGTTAACAAAACAGAGATGATTGTGCACCGATGTAGAAGCTTCCCTCTTGTATTGCTATGAATTAATCTGGAGAGAATATAAACAATTTGTTAGCACTACTGAATGATGTCGCCAACCAGTAGTCAACTAAAATATAATTGAAATGCGTTTGAATCCTTTATGACTGTGTTGGAAGATTTCACGAGAAGCAGTCCCACCTTTAGTTTTAGTTCACATTTGAAAAGAAGTTTCCTCATTCTGGCGGTCTGAAAGTGTTCACTTTATGCAAAGTTCGAAAATGCAAAACCTCAAATGCCACATAGAGGCCTAAGGCTTCATTTTGCTAGGCATACTTAGGCATCGGATTGCTCTCATTTGCCTGTCTGATAACTTGGAGTTAGTTAAAAATAAATTCAATGTTCTCTCAAAATCACTCTAGTGTCAACATAGTATTACTGAACTGGAACACACCAGCTCTTGTCTAGGCAAGTGAAAATGTGTACGTGTGTTTGTGCCAAAAATCTTACGTAACAATGGATTAGCACATCAATGCCTGCCTTTATTAGGCAGATAAAACAACATCCATCGACAGGGTCACACATGGCCATGCAACTAGTAAGGTATGCCTCAGGGCAGTGGGCCAAATGAGACCATCATAACGTGTGCTGAAGTGAGACACATGTTCAGATGCCTACAGAACAGAAGGATGTCTGCAAAGAAACGGTCGAATGGGTGTAGTTTGTTCTTATGGCCCCTGCCTGAATGACGTAACGCAAATCCAGTCTAATTCGGCTTAATTCCTCAATGAAACCAGTGTCACCAGACTCACTGCACCACAGGCGCACCAACCACACTTCCAGGCTCAATAAGACAACTGTGACTCGACAAGAGCAAACTTCCCTTAGCTACTGTATGTAAGAACAGTTATCTGGACATAAAAGTATATTTGCCACTTTCTAAATCTGAATTAAAAAAAGACCGCGACTGCTGAATTTGATGAGGTGATGAGGTGATCACGATTGATTCCCAAGCTTCAAAAAAAGATGCAGAAGAGATGGTGTCGAGGGTGACACGAGTGATGCCTTTCATTTTGAAGATGAAATATGAGTTTTAACGTGATCGAAATAGTCAACTATACTGAATGTTGATCAATGTTCTTATTGACTACACTAAACGTGTTGGGGTGTTTTACTTGTGCGGTAAATAATTCTCAAAGATTCCGAGGAATTTATTTACTTTGAGGAAAGAGTAGAATTTTCTCAAATTCACACTTTTTGCTTGCTGCTATATATTTTCCCCAAATTGTTTGTCTTTCTAGATGGTCCTGACATTGAACAAAGGCACTCGTACTCGAGCTGTAACAGATAGCAATTGTTCATGTCCAAGCATAAACAAGCTCTGACATCGTCACAAATCTAACACAGGTTTATCTTACCTCTTAGCTTTGAAGGTCAAAATAAAAGAATAGCCCGACCTTGTAATGAACAACTGCCTACATTGTGCTTCGTGCTGTCGAAGATCTGATTTGCATCTTTTCCTCACGCTGCGTTGGACACAGAAAGCAAATTGTAGCCCTGCATAGCAAGGCCAGATGAGAAGCAGAGCAGTGTAAGCGCAGATGGATTCAGTTTGGTCATGTGGCGTTGGTGACTCGATGATCAACCACAGGCCTTCAATTTAAAACGAGAGGGCGGTGATGCAAAAGGGACTCGAGAAAGAAATGAGACACCAGGCTATGAGAGTAAACCGGTAGATATATGCAACAAAGGCACTGGCTCCATTCTAAGACATGAGTGCCGGTAGCATAAAGTTATAATTTAAACATGTATTTCTTGCCTCCAAAATCACAGTTACCTTGTCAACAAAAAAGGGCCAACATAAAACAATGTTATCCGTTTTCAGTCATTTCAATGCAAACCCTGCTTCAGGGGTAAAAGACAGACTTGTACATTAAGTCCATGAGCCCCGACCATTGTTCCACTGAGCATTAGTGTGCTATAAAAATATAATAAGATATTGATTCCTTAATTCATTTTCTGATCCGCTTATCCTCACAAGGGTCGTGCGGGTGCTGGAGCCCATCCCAGCTGTCTTCAGGCAGTTGGCGGGGGACACCCTGAACCGGTTGCCAGCCAATTGCAGGGCACACAGAAACAAACAACCATTCGCACTCACACTCACACCCAGGGACAATTTAGCGTGTTCAATCAGCCTGCCATGCATGTCTTTGGAATGTGGGAGGAAACCAGAGTACCCGGAGAAAACCCACGCAGACCCGGGGAGAACATGCAAACTCCACACAGGGAGGCCGGAGCTAGAATTGAACCTAGTACCTCTGCACTGTAAGGTCGATGCGCCAACCACTGGATCACCGGGCCGCCTTGGAGATAATATGCCAAACCATATCTGCACTCGATGAAAAACTCAAAGTGGCAACCAACTATTCATTTTACTATTCAAACTGTATCTTAAAAAGACATGCATACTGTAAACTACCACAATGTATGCACGTGTGAGATGCAGGTATTATTTTGGTACACTTGGCGTCGCCATCCTCAGTTTCTATGACGCGTGAGGACCTGGCCTGTTGAGTGACACGCGAGTCATCGAATCAGAATGTGGAGTTGTCTGGCAGTGAACTGGTTAAACTGTTCGCCACACTGCGTGTTGAGTGACGATGTCAGATGAGGCCATCCGCAGGTCGTCTAAAGAATGTGCTTCTTTTTACTGCGTTTTGTGATTGCAATTGAAAGTGCACCAGCGGCTGTGTCTACGACTACATTCCCTGGACCCTAACCACTTGTGGAGAGATTTCAGAGATTCAATTTGTTCTAACTAATGGTGGCAGGCTATAATAAATTAGCTAACAATGTTTATTTAACCAGAGACGTGCATTTTTATAACTTAAGCCAGTTGGACTTGCTACAGGCACATTGCACTTTAGCCTGTTTTATTATCCATAACGTTGGACATTCTCAGTCTTGTACGCACTCTTTCGTCCTGGCTAGCGCGGATTGAAATGTGAGTCTGCAGTGGCAGTGCGTGGGAAAAATACAATAATAAATACATTTTTAGAATCATTTCAAAAATGTATCATGAATATGTGGCAACATTTTATTGGCCCACCCTGTATATTATATATACAGTATCTCATACTGCGTGGGCTAATAAAATGCATACACACTGAGTATGTATGTATACACACACACACACACACACACACACACACACACACACGCACACACACACACACACACACACACACAGACATTTAGATAGAACTAACTTCGGTTTGACAGAAACATAACGAGAATGTGTCACTCAGTTATTACTTCACCATCTTGACTCTTTGTTCGCCTGCTCATCTGTCTTTCCAGTCTCATTTGGAAACAGGAATCTTTGGCCAACATGCTGCCTCATCAGATGCTCATCAGTGTGACTAAAGGCAAAAACTATCTAATGTATTTTATTCTTGAAATTCTAATTTAATTAGAGACATCAACAAAAATTTGAGATGTGTTTTGAATGATCAGCGTGATCAGGATGAGAAGTTTGATTTTGAGGCTGTTTTCCACATACGTAATCTAACAGTCACAAAGCAGCTGTGGCCACAAGTTGAGTCTTTCAGGCCTACACCAAAGTGAACTAGACAAAGCCTGAATAGCTGCAGGGAAATCACTCAATTGGAAATTTGAGGAATTTGTCAGAGAGGATATCCTGAACCGTGTTCTACTTCTCACCGGAACAATCACATGAGCTTTTACAATGTCTTCGACAAAGCACAGTACTTTGTAAAATGGAAATATACATTTCATAGAAAGCTCACTTACAACTTGGTTACTCCTCTCTTATTGGTTCGGATTGAACCTCTCTCTTATCTTCATGCTATAACCTACTTGAAAACATGTTCACTCGCAGTTTGGAATACTCGAGGGCACACAGGCATTTCCAAACCGTTGTTAGGTTTGGGGATTTTTTTCATTGGGCACCTCCATCCACCACATTCTCTTCTCCTCCCCACCTCCCATCACACACACTCCCCTGCTTGAAATGCGAAAGTGTTCTTAGCAACGGACCTTACAAGGACTCCAGACAGAACCTGACCAAACATTGTCATCCGTCATGCTGCTCTGTCTACACTATATTCATTGACATCTGCATCACCATTCCTGCTAAATAAACTAAACCCACTACTGTTGCAGTGAGCTTCTGCTTGTGCAGTACATTTAAAAATAATATCCATCTAACATTGCAAAATGAAACTCAATTCTTAACAATTTGTTACAGATGGGCGCTCATTGACATAAAAGACACATTAATTATGCCATATTGCAATTTAACACACACACACACACACACACACACACACACACACACACACACACACACAGAAAATATTAAGCAGCTTTGCTTGATTATGCAGAAAGTAATAATGCTGGCATGAGCAGCCCCATTCATTGAAGAATTGTCTGGGCCGTGTATATTAAGCTGATTTTTGTGGTCCATTTTCGGAACAAATTCATCTGGCACGACCTCAGCTCCAAATTTCTTTGTGTTCGTGGCGAAA